AGCTTGTCTCTCTCTCTCTGCTTGGATAGAAACCATGGCTGTCAGTTCCAAGACTCCAGGCTGTCTCCCCATGAAGCAAGAGAGAACAGTAAGCTGCCCAGCTCCGTTCCCCACCCGTGACTATAGATAAGGGCCGGTGGGTGACTGTGATGTATTAGTCTTCCTTATTGTTTGAAGGCAGCTGTCTGTTGAACAAGCCCGCCTTGGAGAGAAAGGAACAGAGAATTATGTAATTTCTCGAGTTCAACTTGCAGTAACTTTGGGAGGCTGCTTGTGCGAGATTGATATTTCTTTTCCAAACCAGATGAGGTGAGCAGCTGATTCTGGGACCATGAACACATTTATCTGCAGCAGGCTATGAAATGCAGAAAGCTGTATTTTCAGAGAGTAGCAGCACCAAGAACAGCACGGAAGGGATGAAAGGCCAGTGTTCTAATCGGGAAGGAGAAAGAAATGTATTTTTGGAAAGGGGCTGGTTTGCCAACTGGTGATGTGTGTGGTGTCTCTATTTTGTCTGTAAATGCACATGACAGCTATGAGATTTAACAAGCTTTAATTTTTGCAGTGTCTGTAGTTGCATTCCTTACTTTAGAAATATATGTTGAAATCATGAATATTAAATTTTTTTTCAAAGGTAATGTGTGTAAACCCTTTCTATCCTAGTATTGTTTTCGGACAATTGCTTTTTCTTGAAATTATACTAAAGTAGGCTGAAAATATAGTACATTTTATTCAACGAGGAACTGTTTTATCCAACTGGAATGACTATCCAACAATGCACTTAGCAAAGGAGGCTTGCAAATACCTAAAAAAATAGTTTCATTCTCTTTATAACTAATTTAACTTAGTATGAATAGGAAAAGTCCATCCAATATAATTTTAAAGATATTAAAGTAGGGTTTCAGTATATTTACCTAAAATCACATGTAAGAAGGCTATCTTTGTAGCCCATACATTGTGATAGTTTAATAAATGTTTGCATTAATTCCCATACATATTGAATTTTGTCAAAGTCAGTGGATGTAAAATGTCTATTTTTTTTCCTTTCTTCTGCCAACACCTTGGTCTGCACCTTCATTATCTCTCAACTGGAGTAACGCACTGGCTTCGTAATGAATCTCCTACTTCTCTTCTTTCCTGTTTGCTGTAGAGCAAAATTTGTAAAACAAGTTATGTAACTTCAGGCCTTTATTGAAGACTCTTCCATGATTCCTCATCTTTCTCAGAGAAAAAGTCAAAGACTGTCCCAAGGAATTGGTCCCTACACATCTGTTATTCCTCTGCTTACCTTTTCCAGTACTGTTTAGCACACCAGGTATACAGCTTTAGGATTTTATATTCCATCCATATGGGGTGCAATCCCTGAGATCTCTGCATGGCCCCCTCCCATCTTCTCACACAAGTGGAGGTCCTCCCTACCACCCAGGAATAATAGCAATTCCCCACAATCCTAGTTCCTCTTCCTTGCTTTAGTTTTCTTCACAGCACTTATTACCATCTGGCATACTATCTCCCTCCCTCTCTTCCTCCATCTCTCTCTTTCTCTCTCTCTCTCCCTCTCCCCCACCCTCTCTCTCATTTATTTTTGTCTTTATCTTCCCACAAGACTAGAAACTAAATGAGAATGTCACAACGATCTCCACTAAAATCATGTCTGATGCAAAATAAGTGTCCACTAAGTATTCATTGGAGGAATGAAGTTTCCTTTAAAAAGTTTCTCTTTTTAACACAAAGTGGAACATTTTTTCCTACATACATGACCTAATTAAAAATAATAAATAAATAAATAAATAAATAAATAAATAAATAAATAAATAAATAAAATATCTATTGGCCTCAGCTGGTATAGCTCAGCTAGGTGGGCATCATCCTATTCACCAAAAGGTTGCCAGCTTGATTCTTGGTCAAGGCTTGTGGCCACGTTCTGTAGGAAGCAGCTGACCCATGTCCCACTGTCACATCAATTTCTCTCTCTCTCTGTCTCCCTCTCTCTTCCTCACTTTCAAAAAACAGCAATCAACAGCCCTGGCTGGTTTTGCTTCGTTGTTAGAATATCGGCCTATGCATGGAAGTTTCCCAGATTCAATTCCCTGTCAAGGGCATGTACTTCACATGCAGGTGCCCCAATCCCAGTAGGGACATGCGGGGGAGGCAAACATTTGTTGGTTCTTTCATTGATGTTTCTTTCATCCCCCTTCCTCTCTCCCTTCCACGCTCTTTAGAAATCAATGGGAAAAATATCCTCAGGTGAGGAGTAAAAAAATAAAAAAATAAATAAAAATGGATAAATAAAAATAAAAATCAATAAAGAGAAAAAAATTACAATCTATTGAATTAGCATCCCTTTTGCTTGTAAAAAGATGGATGGAATTCAGCTGCTGGAGACTAATCCAGAGAAGAACCTGCTGTTCCAATCATGCATCTGCTGTCAGTCGACACATAATTATCCTTAATCTAGTATTTGAAGGCACTATGAGGTATACACAATACCTACCAAAAAAAAAGTTTATATTATAATCGACAGGAGCCAATTAAGGATTCAGGGACTAAACGGCACTTTGAAAGATGGGTAGACTTGGGCTGGTAACGAGACAGAATAACCAGCAAGAGGAATGGCAGGAGTAAAAGTTGAAGGTGTTAAAACAAGCAAAGAGCACTAGTGGACTGTGAAGAGACTGGCCTACCTGGAACAGAGCATTCACAATGGGATTATTAGAGCAAAGAGTGAAAAGCAGAAGAGAGGCAGAATGCAGAGGTCTTCAGGCTGAGGCATGTACTCAACAGTTCAAATCTCATCCCTGGGTACCTTTTCACCTGGTGGTACTCAAGGTGAGGGAGCCATAAGAAGCCATAGAGAAAGGAGGATACACTGTCCTATTCAGCTATCTTGGTAACAGGAAGCATAATGCAAAGTTTTCTTGAATTCTTTTTTTATTTACTGTTTAAAATTGTTTTTATTAAGCAAGGGAGACTGAGAGAGAAATTAAATGTTAATGACAAGAGAGAATCATTGATTGACTACTTCTTGCACACCCCCTACTGGGGATGGAGCGCAAAACCTGGGCATTGCCCTGAACAGGGATTGAATCCTGACCTTCTGGTTCATGTGCGGATGCTAAACCACTGAACCACACCAGCTGGACTTCTTGAATTCTTAAGTAAGAAATTTCCAAAGAATGTTTAAATTATTCCTTTTTTTTTTTTCAAGGTTTGTTTTCAGAAACCTAGAGATGGGTCATTCTTTCTTGCCTTTGATATTCTTGAGAGAAAAACTGTGATTACCACTTATGTTTAGGAGTCATTACAGGTTGCATAGAGGAGAGAAGAACTATATTTCTAATAACATTCACAGTTAAAAATCATTCCACTATTATCCCTAATCTTAATACTTTCTCACATAATGTTAGTAACCTTTATTTTTTATTACTTTTGTCTTATAAATTCAAGTTGTGGTTGTAAAATTAAAAAAAAAAAATACTCCACATCCTAAAAAGCAAAACACTTCAAATAAAGGTTCATTAAAGACACCACTTAAAAGACAAACATATTGTTGGTTCATTAAATGTCTTATCTTCTTTTCAAGGGAAGTAAATATGCCTGATTTTCTTTATTGTCTTCACATAAGCAAGAAACAAACTAAATTCCCTTTCTTAACATAGGCACAGTGGCCTGATAACATAAGGAATCTCATGTCATATATTTACTTAATAATCTAGGGTGAATCAGATATTTTTTTTTCAAAAGGAGTTTTTAATCTTTACAAAACTATGGTCTGTAATTTGTTTTGTTGGTAAAAATGTTGTGAAGGATCAAAATGATAACCAAAATTAGATCCTGCATTGTATCTATATACAGTCTAGAGGGGAGGGAGGATATTTATAAAAATAGAACCGAAGAAACCCTTTGAAAGCTTCTGACAAATTAATAAACTCATATTATCCTACAGTTAGAAGGAGCATCAGAGCTATCCTACACAAATGCAAGAACCAGACAGTCTTACAGATAGTAGTTATAAACTTGGGTGTATAGACACTTGCTACATTTGCAGGGAGTTCATTCCATTTGATTAAACATTTGTTCCTCATAATGGTGTGAAATTTGTTTTCTTTTAATATAACATACTTCCTTTGGTTCTACTTCTAACTTGTACATGTAGACATAATATTCTTAGCCCAGTTTCTTATGCCAGATGCTACTCACTCAAATATAGGAAGACACCATTCCTGTTAAGTTTTTCTGAATTACACATCTTCTATTCCTTCATCAGCCCTTCATATGACAAGGTATCTTGATGTTTCACTGTATTAATCATTTAAAAAATATATTTGTGTTAAGTAATGTCTGCCTTAAAGAGTTCAATCTTTGGAAGAGCTATTATTACAACTTGATCTCCACAGGAATTCTTTCATTTCTGTTGTAAGAGAAAGGATTGGATAGTTTTGTTTATGTTGTTTTTTTCTTTGCTTGTTTCATGTATTTTTCTTACATTTTAAGCTGTGCATTACGTTTTTTGTTATATATTCATATTCTTACAGTGTTTAGGAATGTGCTGATAGTACTGTTTATATTGAGTTTGAACATGAGATTTACATACACCTTACTAACGCACAGACCACTCACTATTATATATATTTTGCTGCAAACTCAATGTGTAAGCCTGTCCGATTAAAAATTTTGAGATTTTTTTTCAAAATGTTTGCACTGTGGATGCTATTTTAAGAAGATATTTATACAAATATCATTTGTTTATTTATTTCAGTGTCTTCACTTTAAACAGTGCTATGAGTTATAATTCATTTTGCCTGCCCTCACTAAAATTAGTAATGCAATCAGTCATTTTCTCTTTACAGATTGTTCAGTTCAAGGGGACGAAGAATTCAGAATAATTTGATAAGTGGATGCCAATATGGGGAATAAGAATAAGCTGAACATTTGATCTGCTTTGAAGAAACATACTGTCTATTTGTCTAAAGGGATTGATAATAACCGAACCAATCAAAATGAATTCAACAATAGTTTTCCAGGTTGAAAATCATTCAATCAACTATAATTTTTCAAAGAATAATTCCACGGTTTTGGCTTTTGAAATTGATGATTGTCATCTGCCTTTGGCCATGATATTTACATTAGCTCTAGCTTATGGAGCCGTGATCATTCTCGGGATCACTGGAAACTTGGCCTTAATTGTAATCATCTTGAGACAAAAAGAGATGAGAAACGTTACCAACATCCTGATTGTGAATCTCTCCTTTTCAGACTTGCTTGTTGCCATCATGTGTCTCCCCTTCACTTTTGTCTACACAATAATGGACCATTGGGTTTTTGGTGAGGCGATGTGCAAGTTGAATCCTTTTGTGCAATGTGTTTCAATCACTGTGTCCATTTTTTCTCTGGTTCTCATTGCCGTGGAACGACATCAGCTGATAATCAACCCACGAGGGTGGAGACCAAATAATAGGCATGCTTACATAGCTATTGCTGTCATTTGGCTTCTTGCTATGGCTTCTTCTTTACCTTTCCTGATCTATCAAGTCTTGACGGATGAACCTCTCCAGAATTTTACCCTTGATGGCTACAAGGATAAATACGTATGCTATGATAAATTTCCATCGGAATTTCATAGGTTGTCTTATACCACTCTCCTCTTGGTGCTGCAGTATTTTGGCCCACTCTGTTTTATATTTATTTGCTACTTCAAGGTAAGAAAATTCCTTCCTCCTTCACCATTTCCATTTTTTTATCTTCTTTCGAAAGAATTCTTCATTAAATGAGTGATTCTGTTTGAACTCACCTTTTTTTCCTTCCCTCTATAGATATATATACGCTTAAAAAGGAGAAACAACATGATGGACAAGATGAGAGACAACAAATGCAGGTCCAATGAAACCAAAAGAATCAACATCATGCTTCTGTCCATTGTAGTAGCATTTGCAGTCTGCTGGCTGCCTCTGACCATCTTTAACATTGTGTTTGATTGGCACCATCAGGTTATTGCTGTGTGCAACCATAATCTCTTCTTCCTGCTCTGCCACCTCACTGCAATGATATCCACCTGTGTTAACCCCATATTTTATGGATTCCTGAACAAAAATTTCCAGAGGGACTTGCAATTCTTCTTTAACTTTTGTGATTTCCGGTCTCGGGATGATGACTACGAGACAATAGCCATGTCTACCATGCACACAGATGTTTCCAAGACTTCTTTAAAGCAAGCAAGCCCAGTCGAATTTAAAAAAAATCAACAACAATGATAATGATCTGAAACTGCTGTAGCCTAGGGTCCCAGCTAACATCTGTTTCGGAACAAGCACAACCGACAACATATTTTATTGCCCGTTCAACCAAGGAATGGGGTTGAACTCATTGAGGAAAGGCCAAGATCTCCCTGTCTTGATTTTCACTGCTTTTCTTGTAGTTGTCACAATTACATTTGGAGAAAAAACAAACAAACAAACAAATAAACAAACATGTATGGGCTTTGGAATCTTCTGACAATAGTTTTGACCAGACATCCTTGAAGTGCTTTTTGTAAATTTATGCATATACTACAAAAACTTTTTATATTGTATTTGTTGGAATGAACTTTCTTTAAAGTATTATTGTTAACAACTTTAGAAGCACTACATCTGATATTCTCACTACATGGAGCCATCCTGATTAGATTGTCACTAGATTGGATGATCCTGATGTAATGATCGGCATTGTTTCAGGCTGTTACAGAGGTGGCAGCATGCAAATAGCATCCAGGATGTGGAGGTAAAAGAGAGTCTATGTCTTGCATACCTATAGTCTAAAGTCATTCAGGAGCTATATATATATATATATATATATATATATATATATATATATATATATATATATATTTAATTTTAAGCAGGATTTAATTTGCTTCTAATTATCACTTATGATTTAAAAAAAAAAAAAGGCATGCAAGTATACTTCTCTGTGAATACAATGGGGGATTGGTCCACCCACAAGAGTAAAGTGGGAAAGCAGTTCCCTAACTTTAAAACTGTTTTGGTACCCAACAATCAAAGGATTTCAAAGTAATTAGTTTGAATTCTGTTTATTTGAATTGATGGTCAAGGGGTTTTCCATTCTTCACAAATTGTTCAGTATTTGTCAAATTCTCAAACTTTCTAGCATAAATATACCCGCAATTCAAAAAGCATTTACAGCTCACAATGTATAAAAACACTAAGTGTATTTTCCATACATCAGTGCCCATATAGTATTTCATTTTTACTTCTCAGTGTCCATCTTCAAAAAAGGACACCAAGATACAATGTTAAAAGAATAACCATCCTGGCTAGCAGGGATAAATACCTGAAAGCTGAAAACACTTCATATAGCCCATGTTGATCTATATAAACTATGTGGAGTCTTTTAAATAGTGCACTATATAGAATTTTGAGTAGTTGTGTCATGTTAATACACTTAATTTCATGTATCCTGTAATCATGATTGAGCCACAGAATCATATAGAGAAAAGATATTTTAAAGAACAATACATAGCCTTGATGTAGTATACACATAAAGTATTAAATATGTTTATTTTAGAAAGGTGGACATTTTCTTTATTAAAATTGCTTTTGCTTTTTCTGAGTCTCTTTTGTGTCTTCTCTCTGCAGCTTATTTTTTTCTTCTTTCTGAAGTTTTCTTCTTCCCTTCAATGGTATTCCAATAGCATCCTATATCTGCTTGAGAATGAAACATTTTCTACACTGTGGTATAATCATTGATGGCCCAGTCTTCCTTTGCTTCTTGAAGACAGAGCACAAATTTACATGAGCCTCTGTCCCCAGTGCATTTAGTACAGTGCTAGTTACTTAGACATTTTAAATATTTATTTCTAAAACTAACACATGAATAAGTAATGAACAAATTCCCTTTCTTCTCATTTATGAGCATATTGACTTTATATCCTGACATTTGCTTGGACTCAACCTCCTAAGTTCTTCTTTACTAAGGAGGTGTTTTCTCTTTTATTAGTTATTTTACCACCTAAACTAAGCAAAAAGGACAACAGTATAGATTTTAGAAATTTGCATAACTTGTCTTGTAAGTCAAGCCAATAGAAAACTTTTAATATTGAATTCAAATTATGCCTAAGAATAAATTCAAATTATGCCTAAGAATGACTTTTAGTTTACTGAACAAGAAAAAATTCAAAAATAAACTTTGAATATATAATAAAAATATCTTTTTTTTTCTTACCAAAACCTAGAATTTAAACTACGTGATGTTTTTCTGCTTTGAGAGTCTAGCAGTAAATGTTGTCTTGCTTTACTTAGGTGCTACTTGAGAAAAGCCTTAATACATAGGTGCCTTTTTGTAAGCACATTTGCTAAAATGGCTATTTCTAGGATTTTCATTCAACTGTGTAGGCCTCTGATTCCTTAGCTTTACACAATTAATGAACTGAATATCAAATTCTTCTCTTTTATCTAAACCTGACAATGAGCTAATATAAAGTTCAGGGTCCATAACAGATCCATTGTAATTCATGAAGAAATAAATGCCCATGTTAAATGCAAGCTGCAGAACCACTGGATTTTCTTAAATCCAAGAACAAACTTAAGTTATTGGCTTAATACAAGAGCATAGTTATAAGGTAACCTATAAATTTAGAATAAAATAATCATAGCTAGAATTTTTAAACACTTATTATGTGCTAAGTACTATGTCAAGTCCTTAAGTACCTCTGAGGATGTGTGACTAATATTTGGCCACTTCACATAAGAGGAAACTGAAGCTCAAGTTGAAAATTTTGAGCTACACACTGAGAACAAGCAGAGCAGAGATCAAATGTAGGTGTGTCTAGTGTGAGTAAATGAATCAATGAGCTAAACCTAAGATAGTTTTAGAAAATAATTTATAAGTTACATTATTAGACCATAACAGTACCACCCACCTTCTTTCTGATTTTAGCTGCCATAGGAAATGGAGTGAAGTGGAAGAGTTGAGAGAAATTGGCCATTGTGATTATTTGTTTCCACAATACCATTTTGAATTGGAGAATTCTGCTTAAAAACAGAAGTTGACAATTCATATTAGCTTTATTTGTTTATTGTTAACTGGGTAATCTCATCTCCTTTCTATTGCACAACCTTCCAAGGAAATATACATAAATGCATATTATACTATACTTGCAAAATTTGACAGCCAAATGCATAGATATTTTCCCAATGAAATTGTTTCTCCACACACACAGCAAAAGTGGTAGGAAGTGGTAGATTTAAGCTCGGGTTATATGGATAACTTGGGCCTTGTTCCTTCACTGCAATTCAGTGAGTTTATGGGCACTGCTAAGTCCTTCATCATAGCCAGACCTGCTGTTTTCAGCAGGCTAGGATTCTGCTGGAGAATGTATTGCTCAGTGAGATACAATTCTTTCATAGGTTGCAAATTTTCTTCATCTACTTATCCCTATGGTCCATCAAACACTACATTAGATTTAAAAGCCTGAAGTTTTCTAGGGCAAATTAATAAGATTGCCTAAATTTCTTTCATTTAATGATTCCTTTATTAATATACTAGAAGCCTGGTGCACAAAATTTGTGAACTGGGGGGGGGGGGCAGGAGGGGGGCAGGGGTGTGCTAGGGTGGTGTCCCTCAGCCCAGCCTGCACCCTCTCCAATCTGGGAGCCTTCAGGGAATTTCCCACTGCCTGTGAGATCTGTCCTAAACTGGCAGTCGGACCTCCTCACAATCTGGGGTTGCTGACTCCCAACTACTCGCCTGCCTGCCTGCCTGCCTGACTGTCCCTAACCACTCCCCTGCCAGCCTGATCGATGCCTAACTGCTCCCCTGCTGGCCCAGTTGTCCCCAACTTCCCTCCCCTGCTGACCTGGTTGCCCCCAAGTGCCCTCCCCTGTTGGCCTGGTCGCCTCCAATTGCCCTCCCTTGCAGGTTTGGTTCCTTCCAACTGCTCTCCCTTCCCTGCTGGCCTGGTCACCCCTAACTGCCATTCCTTGCTGGCCTGATTGCCCTTAATTACCATCCCGTGCCATCTTGTGGCAGCCATCTTTGACTACATGGGGGCAGCCATCTTTGACAATATGGGGGTGGCCATCTTGTGCAAGGGTGTGAGGGTCAATTTGCATATTTCCTCTTTGTTATATATGATTTCTATATAGGTGTGTGCAACACATTGCATGGGTATTGAATACATACATAGAAATGTATAATTAGGCTATGGTTTATTGCTATTCATTTCCTGATTTCTTATAAAAACTATCACCTATATAGCACTACAACTGCCCTAAAAAGAACTACTATTGTTTTCCTCATTTCACAGAGAAGGAAAGTGAGGCATAGAGAGGTTATGTAAATTGTCCAAAGACACTGAGCTCTTAGATGACAACCAGGATTTAAATCCAGGCCATTAGGTTTCTTTAACAGAAGTCTTTAACCTACAATGAAAACCTTCCCCATATGCCACACTGCCTGAATTCACAAACCCTCCCCCTCCAATCTTTCCATTACTGGATCTACTCAGAACCTCACTCAATATGCAATCCAGGCTTCCCCAATCTCATCAATCTCAGAAAGGTGAAAAGCAGATATTTTTCAAAGCTGTCCTCTGAGTTCTAACACAAATCCCTAATTGTGGTAACTTAGGCTCAGGAGCAGTACTGAGCCACAGATCTCTGCCACCCCAGGATTATCAGTGCACACCTGCATTCCTTTTCTCCAGTTCTGTCTCCTCTGCTTTATACAATCTCTAGCTTTTCTGGTTTCACAGCCAATGCCTGAGTCATCTCCTAGGATTATTTCCCAGTGAGTGTGTAGGGTTTGAAAACTCAGTAGGTTCTTACCAACCTTCCTTTTTTGGAGCCAGGAGTATTACCCTACATGGTCTCTAGCCACTGGCTGAGGAATGACCATCTGGAAAATAGTATGGAGTATTTCTTTTCTCAAGAAATTAAAAATAGAACTACCATATTGTATCGTAAATGGGGACATGGGCCCCTTCCCATGCTCCAGCTCCTCCTCCCACCCTATGGGAAATACAGTGAAGTCCATCTGTAATCGGACTGAGAGATCTTGGGAACCTGGCCAGAAGAAAGGCCAAAGAGAAACTGCTTCTAGATAGGAGCATGCATTGTAAACAGCGAATGTTTTGATCTTACACTGGCCTGTCCCCTCCACCTGCATGCCCCGTTTTTCTCTGTTTTCTGTATTCTATAAAACCTGGTGCTGGGAAAGTCTGGGTGGCTGCAAAACAATAGCACCGGCCAGCCACTCC